TTTGATATAGATGAGCTTGGCTTTTCCAAGGCACAGGGGTGCTATAACGCTCAAACCACCGATGTCTGCTCGTGAAACACACGCCGACTAGGGATGCTTGGCATGTCCCACTCCACGCCGCCCTCCGAGAAACGCCCAGGGCCCGCCGGACATTGCTTATTTTGCTTCGAAGCCACTCACAGCCTGGGTTCTAGACGGTTATATCGCTGCAAGGGAGCAGACTAGACGCCTTCGAGGTGGGCATGCGTGTCCACAATCAATATCTTCAACGCATTAGCCTTATCCTCTGACCACCCTTCAATCACCGTTACACCTCCGCTTTCCTCACACGATGGCCGGCCCTGTCCCCACGTCGGCCTCGAGCAGGAATCTATATGAATGCCGTGGTCCGCCTCGAAATGGACTTCCACCGGCTTTCAAACGTTTCAATCCATTATCTCCCATTCTTTTCGGTCCTTCTTTTCTTTTTTCTTTCTTTTTTTGGGCAATTTTTTTTTTTGCCGCCACTCTTTTCCGGGTTGCTGCTGGGCCAGCTTTCCCCCTCAAGGTTTCTATCTCATTCTCTCACCTTTGATTAGGTATCTTTCCGACCCTATCTGGTCTATAGCATCTTTTGCTCGTTCTTCTCTTTCGAACAATTCACTTCAAGATGCGTTCCTACATTCTTAGCGGCGCTGTGGCCCTGAGCTCTGCGCTCGGTGCCTCCGCCGCAGCCACCGCCACTTCCGCCTACAGTGACTCGGTTTCCGGCATGGACTTCCAAAGATGGTGCGACTCTGATACGGGCTTCTGTTTCGGTATTGCGCTGCCTGAGACCGTGGAGAAGAGCTTCATCGGTCAGCTGAGTGTGCCTCTCGACAGCTCTAAGGGATGGGGTGGTGTCAGTATGTCCGGTTCCATGACCAAGGCTCTCCTCATCGCAGCCTGGGCCAACGGCGACTCTGCTGTCGGAACCCTCCGCGAGACCAGTGCCTACTCCAGCCCCGAGGTTTACAGCGGCGATGCCAGCATTCTCGAAATCCCCGAGGGAACCTCCGTCAACAGCACTTTCCTCACCTATACCTTCCTGTGCGAGAACTGCATTCTCGGCGAGCCCACCACCTTCGGCGCCACCGAAGACACCTACTACTTTGGCTGGGGTCTCAGTACGACCAGCCCTACTACCCCCTCCTCCGATTCCTCGGCCATGCCTTTCCACGGAGCCGGTTACGGTGGCTTCGAAGTCTACCTGTCCAAGGCCAAGTCGTCTAGCTACGCCACCTGGGCTGCGAAGGCCGTCTCGAGCACGTCTACTGCCTCTGCGTCCGCCTCGGTTACCAGCCCTTCAGCCAGTGCCTCGGCCAGTGTCGTCGCCACGGTTTCGAACACGACCTATGATTACATTGTGGTCGGAGGCGGTGCTGCCGGTATCGTTGCCGCTGAGCGATTGGCTGAGACCAGCAAGAAGGTCCTGCTGATCGAGCGTGGTGTGGCTCCTACCACGGAGCTGGGTGCGACCGATGCTCTTTCGTGGAACTCCTCCATGACTCCTTTCGATATCCCCGCCCTCGGCAGCTCCCTCACCTCCCTCAACTTGATGGGCGACTACCTCTGCGACGACACTGCGGGTATGGCTGGTTGTGTTCTGGGTGGTGGTACCATTGTCAACGCCGAATCCTTCATCCACCCCCAGGAGGCCGATTTCGACGACAAGTGGCCCACCGGCTGGAAGTGGAAGGACATTGAGGCGGCCGCTAACCGTCTCTACGCGCTCAACCCCGGAAGCACTCTTCCCTCGGCCGACGGCAAGCGGTACGACCAGGGCATGTACACTGTTCTTTCTGGCTTCCTGAAGGGTCTTGGATGGAAGTCGGTTGACTCCCAGAAGCAGCCCAACGAGAAGCACATGGTGTACAGTTACCCCTCCTGGGATGTCGGCAATGGTATCCGCGCTGGTCCTGTCCGCTCCTACCTCCCCTTGGTCCAGGACCTTGACAACTTCAGCCTTCGCACGAGCACCAAGGTCCGTCGTCTTGTACGCCGCAGCGCCCGCGTTACTGGCGTTGAGGTCGAGACCAGCTCTGGTGGCATCGAGATCATCAACCTGAATGCTGGTGGTAAGGTTGTTCTTGCTGCGGGTTCCATGTCGACTCCTCGCATCCTGTTCAACTCCGGTATTGGGCCCACCGAGCAGATCCAGACTGTCAAGAGCGGCAACACTGGTATCACCCTCCCTCCTTCCTCTGAGTGGATCAACCTGCCTGTTGGCCAGAACCTCCGTGACCACCCTATGTTCACCATCACCGTCAACACCAACAGCAACTTCACCCACTTCAACACCTCCAGCGTGGTTCCCGGCCCCAGTGCCGCCGTCCAGAAGCTTTTTGCTCAGGGCTCCGGTGTCCTCACCCAGGGTGGCCACCGTCTCCAGTTCTGGACCTCCAACGTTGGAACCGATGGCATTACTCGTTTCTACCAGGCTTCCTGCAGCACCAGCACGGACGGTGTGATCACCATGAAGCTGTACCTGACCCACGGTGCCACCTCGACCGGTGTCCTTGGCATTGACAGCTCCGGCACCACCACCCTCGAGACCGACCCCTGGCTGCAGACTGCCGCGGACAAGGAAGCTGTGACCCGCTTCTTCCAGAGCTTGATCGACGACATCAGCAACTCCACCTCCGGCTTCTCCATCTCCGGCACCTCGACCGCTTCCGGTATCCTTAACCTTATGACCAGCGGTGACCACTTTGTCGGCACTGCGAAGATTGGCACTGACGATGGACGTGTCAACAACGGCACTTCTGTCGTTGATCTCAACACCAAGGTGTACGGTACCGAGAACTTGGTAAGGATGCACTTCTGAATCGATGGCATCGCCCAGTGAGCTAACCGTTTTTCTAGTACGTTGTTGATGCCAGTATCCACCCCGATCTGCCCACCGGTAACACTCAGGCCATCGTCATGATTGCTGCGGAGGCCGCTGTGGCCCGCATCATCGCCCAGGGCACGGATGCCGTTAGCGCCAGCTCGTCTATTGCTGTTTCTGCGGCTTCTACCGCTGCTGCCCATTATGCATCTGCTACCGAGTCCTCGGTTGCTGTCAGCATTGCGACGGCTACTCCCGAGACCACCGCTGCCAGCGTTGCCGCCGAGGCGACCGCCACTGCTACCTCCGCGTCCAGCGCTGCTTCTTCCAGCTCTGCCTCTGCCTCCGATGACGATGAGGATGACGAGGACTTGCCCGACTGTGACGATGAGGATGACGAGGAGGAGGAGACCAACCCCGAGGATAGCTTCTCGGGCTCTGCCTCTGTGACCGCCCACAAGGCTGTGGCTACTCAGGCCGGCTCCGGTGCCTCGACCACCACCGTGTGGGTGACCTCGACCGCCTGGACTACGACGACCGAAGCCGTGGTTACCACCACCACTTCTACCGTCACTGTCTGGCCCACCTACGCCTAGGTAGGCTGGTGAATGGAATTTCCTTGTCGACGGTGGTTGTGGTTGTATGTATGCAACCAACAAAATTTACCGTTCGATTCTCTGTATTTAGACCGACCGAATTTACTATTAGAATATCTGTGATGCACTCAGCTGGCTCATTTGAGGTAGAAGTAGTTGCAGTCATGCCATTTTGGTCACGACTGTACTATGCGAAGAGGACTAAGGCAGGAAACGCAGGGTAAGCTAATGAGATGAGAGGAACTTGGAAAGGGATGGGCAGCCTGAGGAGGGCCTGAAGAGGGCCCGAGGAAGAAACTGGACGAAAGGCAGCCAGTCACATGTTTGGGCGGATTGGCTGATCTGCTCTTCCTCTTTCTTTTCCACCACCACCTTTACTATTACTTACTCCGATCGGATGAAGATCAGCGCATCCAAACCACAAGATTGAGTCGGTCTCAAGCCACGGACTTCTGGTTCCAACCAGTCGGAGGGTCCCAATTTACTTAAGAGCTGAGCACGGAGCAACACCACGAAACCCGGGAAAAAGAAAAAGGAAAAGAGTACGGAGTACCACAAAAAAAAAAAGCAAAAAAAAAAAAAA